GTTACTCTAAGGAATTAGCCGAGTGGTAAAAACTTAAAAGATAAGATTCAAGACCTCAAATTTGAGTCTCTAAAGGGACCTGGAGGTTAGATCATTTGTTAACTTCTAGTGTCAGCACATCCCTTAGGTGAGTAAGGTAATCCTCTAAAGCCACAAAGTAAAAGTTCTTCTTGTTCATGAGCCCCAATAATAAAAACTTAATAAAACACTTCTTATCCAAAAGGCCCAATGAAAAAGGAAAACAAATTCTTACACAAAAGCCCAATAAAAAAAAAATTGTTCCTCGTCGAAAGATCCCTATGGTGAAAACAGTAAACACCAATTAATTACTAAAATAGATATTCAAGGAAAATGAATGATAGAATAAAAAATTACAATGTAATAAATTAATAAATATTATTTATATATATATAAGAGTCCTATTTGAGATTTCACCCAAGGCCCCGATAGTATTGGGCTGCCACCGCTTACTATAGGGGGTGCAGTCGTTACTAAGGTGGTTTGGATTATGATATCTTGTACATTCAAATGAGGCATTTGTTTACTAGTGTCATTTTCCATAGAGTAAACTATAATTGCATAGTAATGCTTCACAGAAATAGAATAATCGAAATTTATTATCCATATCATATAAGCACCTACTATTATCTCAACTGGAACCATTACAATACTTACTTCTTCATATGGAAAGATTTACCAGTAAAGAAATAAGATCGCTATAGAAGGATCTAATAGTGTGATTCAAGCTTATGTCTCTTCTGCAAAGAAAAGGCCAAAAATTAATTTTTAAAAGAGGGAAAGATAGGATACAAAATTACAGATTAAATTTCTATTTGAAGGAAGGTACTTACATTGAAGAAAGATAGGATACAACAAATCGTTAAAAAAAAAATAATGGCACATGATGTATATTATATATACATTGAGTTATATTCAACAATCTGAACAATAAATCAATTATTGAGTTATATTCAGAATCTAATTATAAATAAAATATTCAATATGAACACAGAGTAGGATTTGTTACAAGGTTCATATGTGGGCCTCATAAATTGTAAAGAAGTTTTGAATTAGGGCAAGAAAACATGATTAGATATGTGGGACTCATAAATTTGAAAAAGAAAATGATGAATGATTCTACAAAGTTCAAAAGTATTATTATTACAAAACTAAATTTCCTAGTTGAATTGTTGTCAAGAAAATGGAGGAATATGCAATAAGTAAAAATTTGAATTTTTGTGATGTCAATGAGGTTCTGAAAACTCCAAAGAACTCAGCATTACAATATCAAATCTGATTGGCTATGTTGCACAACAAAACTGGGCTCAATTAATAATTCACAGTATGTTCCTTCAATAAAAAAAAAAAAAAAACACAATCTTGTTCCCCAACCCCCTTTGATATGTCTGTCTCTATATCTATATCTATATCTATATATATTGGTGTCCATCCATCTCCTTGGGATTATATGATCCAAGCTTGTACTATTTTCCACTTAGCCTCTTATATCCCTAAGTTTCAAATGCAATTCATGACAAATTAGGCACTCTATAACTGATGTAGAGATGCGTATGAAATGAACGAAAAACACAAAGAAAACAAGAATAATATTTTATATATTTCTCTGAATTTTATTAATAAAAAAGAAAATCATGACTGTGTCAATAACTTCAATATTGGGCTAAATGGAATGCATGATATTTCATGCAATTCAAATAACTACTTGAACAGCAAAGGTCTTTTTCTTCTCATGTGGTTCATAATCATACAAATCTTAAATGTTCAGTCATTACCAAAACTCCGATTCGAATTACAATCAGAAAGTATACAAAAAAGTAACTAAAGAAAGAATTAGGATGGAGAAATTAAACCTAAATCTTTCCCCTCCAGAAACAATACTTTAATTTACTTTCACAGTATCTTAATCAAATTACAAGGTTCATATTGTCCAAGAAGAAATTTGTTTTTTATAAAATATCAAATTACAAGGTTCATATCTTAATCAAATTACAAGGTTCATATTCAGAATTTAATTATAAATAAAATAGAGCATGATATATATATATATATATATACTATATGTATAACAATATAATGTATACAGAACACAGAGTAGCAAAAGAAAAGAGAGAAAGAGAGAGCATCGAGAGAAAAGATCAACGAGAGAGAGAGAGAGAGAGAGAGAGAGAGAGAGAGTAACGGATCAGCAGCGGTGAGAAGAGGAGATGAGATTGGCAAGGGAAGGAGAGGCTAGATCGGCACAGCAGCGAGGGGCGGTGAAGAGAGGAGAAGCTAACAGATCAGCAGCGGTGAGGAGAGGGTGACGGCGGTGAGCAGAGTGAGCCGATCGGTGATGAATCTGTGTCTGAATCGATGAGGAGAGTAAGCAGCGGCGTCGCCTCTGTGTGTGTGTGTGTGTGTGTGTGTGAAATAGGTTTGAACCGATAAATTATTGTGTGTGTTTGAGGCGCCAAAACATTTTTTTCCCCCTAAATATTTAGTAACTAAATTATTTATTGGTGACAAAATTATTTCTTCACCAAAGATAGAAATATTGGCCACAAAAATCGTTTTGTCACTAAATGATATTAAAATATTAAAAATTATTGGTGACAAAAATATATTCGTCATTAATAATTTTATAATTGGTGACTAATTTTTTCGTCACTAAAAGTCTCAAAATTTTGGCACCCTCCGAAAATATTAGCAGGAAAATATTTGGTGACAAAAAAAATTAAAAATAATGACGAAAAATAATTTTGTCGCCTAATTTTTTTATTATGATTTAAATTGGTGACGAAATTTTATTTTTGTCTCAAAAAATGGTACATTTGGAGACGAAATATGGTTTTCGTCATTAAAAGATACGTATATCGTGACAAAAAAAATTTTCGTCATTAGTTTTCGTCTCTAAAGACTATTTTTGTTGTAGTGATACCTCATAGCCAAACCCAAAAACCCACCACACTAACCATGAAATCTCCAAATTAAACCACACAGATAAAGTTTTAGCATGCTGCTAGAAGTAAGATAAACAAAGATTGAGTACCTGCTAGTCCACTTAGACTAAGTTAAGCGGCTGCTCCCTCTCTCTCTCCGTCTCTCTCTTCCTGCCTCACTCTTAAGGGTTACGACTGCTATGAATAGGAACTCAAAGCTGCTGCAGTTAGGGTTTGTGTTTATTTTATTTTATACTAGTGGTGGGCACACATAAGTCAAATAAATTGATAAATATACAAATATATATATATATATATATAAGTTATATGAAACTCAAATGGTAAAAGCCTTATTTAATAATTTTATGGTCATACCGTCTATTCTATTTTTTTTTTTTTAATAATAAATCTTGCCTCTAAATTAAAGACTTTCACCATAAATTTATTTTAGGTTTAAAAGTAATTAAAAGATCCTCCAATAATATTTAATTTGCACTTTATGATTCACCACCAAAATATTTGAGATTGTAATATTATTATTTAATTATTTACTTAATATTTATATTCAGGTTCTTATATTTTTCCCACCTAAAAGAAAAGTTTCGTCCTCGAAATTAATCTGAGTAACTCATGAGAATAGATGTGGGTACTTCTCGTGCATTTCGTCCTCGCGTTCCCAAGTCGCCTCTTCAATTAGATGATTAGGCCACAGTACCTTAACCAATTTAATGGCCTTTGTACGCAACATTTTCTCTTTCGAATCCAAGATTTGAATAGGCATCTCCTCGTACGAAAATCCTCTCTAATCTGAAGCGGCTCATAATCTATCAAACGTGACGGATTGTGCACATATTTCGTCAGCATAAACACGTGAAACGTATTATGCACTCCTGCCAACCTAGGGGGTAAAGCAACACGGTATGCAATCTCACCAACCTTCTCCAATACCTCAAATGGTCCAATGTATCTAGGACTCAACTTTCCTTTCTTTCTAAACCTGATGACTCCTTTCCATGGTGATACTTTCAAGAATACCATATCCCCCACATGAAACTATAAATCTCTCCTACGATGATCAGCATAACTTTTTTATTTACTCTAAGTAGTCAATAATCTCTCTCTTATGGTGATAATTTTCTATGTAGCATCCTCCACCAAATCAGGTCCCAACATTTGCCTCTCACCAACCTCATACCAACACAAATGAGACCTACACTTCCTCTCATACAAAGCCTCATAAGGAGCTACTCTCAAACTAGAATGATAACTATTATTATATGCAAACTCCATAAGTGGCAAATAATCATCCCAATTACCTCTCCATTCCAAAACACAAGCCCTCAACATATCCTCAAGGATTTGAATAGTCCTCTTTGATTGCCCATCTATTTGAGAGTGATAAATTGAACTAAAATTTAACCGAGTACCCATAGTTGACTGTAATGCACCCCAAAACTTAGACACAAAACGAGGGTCCCGATCTGACACTATTGACACAGGTGCACCATGCAATCTAACAATCTCCTTCACATACAGCTGTGCAAATCGAGCTAGAGAATGGTTCATTCGTACTGCAATAAAATGTGCTGAATTGGTTAATCTATCAACAACTACCCAAACTGCATCGTGATTACTACTAGTACGAGGTAATCCGCACACGAAGTCCATGGTAACATGATCCCACTTCCACTCTAGTATAGGTAAGGGTTGTAGTTTCCCCACGGGTTTCTGATGTTCTACTTTAACCTGTTGACACACCAAACATTGAGCCACAAATTCTGCAATATCTCCCTTCATACCATTCCATAAAAAAAGTTCATGAAGATCCTAATACATCTTAGTGCTTCCAGGATGAATGCTGTAACTAGAGCTATGTGCCTCTGTCATAATCTCCTTCCTTAAATCACCACTAGTAGGAACACAAATTCGGCTAAAAAATCTAAGCAACCCATCATCACTAACCACAAAGTCTACATTCTTACCCTCTGTCATCTCTCCTTTAATACGCTCACACTAGGGGTCAATCTCTTAGGCTAAACAAATCCGTTCTCTCAAGATCAGCTAAACTGTCAATTGACTGCAATAAGCCCTATCACCAGCAGTAACAACCTCAAGCCTCAAATGTCTCATGTTTTCCACCAAACAACTCTCAATAGACAAAGCAGTTACATCTCCAACTGTGACCTTCCTACTCAAGGCATCTACAACCACATTTGCCTTCCCCGAATGATATAAAGTATTCACATCGTAATCTTTTAGTAACTCAAGCCATCTTCTTTGCCTCAAATTTAGTTCCTTTTGTGTGGAAATATACTTCAAACTCTTATGATCAATATAAATCTTACATGACTCTCCATACAAATAATGTCACCTGATCTTAAGAGCGAAAATCACTGCTGTTAACTCCAAGTCATGCGTAGGATAATTTCTCTTATGTACATTCAACTGTCATGACGCATAAGCAATCACCTTCCCTTGCTGCATGAGCACACATCCTAAACCCTGTCATGAAGCATCACTATAAATCACAAAACCACCACCGTCTGTAGGTAAGGCAAGGATTGGAGCTGATGTCAATCTCTGTTTAAACTCTTGGAAGCTACGCTCACAATCATCATTCCACTTAAACTTCACCCCTTTCCTGATGAGATTGGTAAGTGGCAAAGCAATACGGGAGAATCCTTCCACAAACCGTTTGTAATATCCAGCAAGCCCTAGAAAGCTATGTACCTCTGTCATAGAAGTAGGTCGTGGCCAATCAACAATTGTTGCCATATTCGTGTTATCCACATATACCCCATCTTTATTCACCACATGACCCAAAAAGGATGCACTGCTCAACCAGAATTCACACTTCTTAAATTCTATATCTAGTCTTTTCTCTCTAAGGATCTGCAGTACTTACCTCAAATGCTGCTCATGCTCCTCCTTACTCCTCGAATAAATTAGGATGTCATCTATAAACACTACCACAAAATTATCCAGTTGGGGTTTGAATACTCTGTTCATCAAATCCATGAATGCGGCTGGTGCATTTGTGAGACCAAAAGGCATCACCAAAAACTCATAATGCCCATAACGGGTTCTAAAAGTGGTTTTAGAAGCATCTTCATCCCTTACCTTCAACTGGTGATAGCCTAACCTCAAGTCAATCTTAGAGAATACTTGAGCTGCATGTAACTGGTCAAATAGGTCATCAATACGTGGCAAAGGATACCTATCCTTCACTGTGACTTTGTTCAGTTCTCTATAATCAATACACAATCTCATAGTCCCATCATTCTTCTTCACAAACAACACAGGTGCTCTCTAAGGTGAAATACTAGGCCTAATAAAACCTTTGTCTAGCAATTCCTGTAATTGAGTTTGTAACTTCCTCAACTCCAACGGTGCCATTCTATAGGTCGCTTTAGAAATAAGTGTTGTGTTGGGGACCAAGTCAATGGAAAATTCTACCTCATGATCTGGAGGAAGTCCAGGTAGATCCTCTAGAAAAACATCAACAAATTCCCTCACTATAGGCAACTCCTCTAACTTCTTCCCTGGCTGTTCGGTACTCACCACACAAGCTAAATAACCATGACACCTTTTTCTCAACATTCGGTTAGCCTGAAGGGAAGAAATAAAACAAATAGAAGACCCTCTCCTATCTCCCTGAAAGAAAAACTCATGTTGGCCCAACATAGCAAAAACTACCCCCTTTCTAAACAATCAACAGAGGCATGATGCGCCGTTAACCAATCCATCTCCAAAATCACGTCAAAATCCTTCAACTCTAAGGAAATCAAATCCACTGGAAAAATCCTACTATAGACGCGCCCTCGGGCTTCACTACTATAGTTCCGACTCAAATGTCACAGTTCTGAATCTAATCCTGCAAAGTGCAATGCGAGACCGATAAATCACCAAAGAGTCCAAATCCAACAGATCGTTTTGGAAAACTGATTTTTAAGAAAGAAGTGCCAAACATGGACTGCTTTTCCAGATACAGAGTCGCCACCTAAATATTTAGTTTTAGGAAATTTAGGAAACCCTGCCTCATGCCGAAGGCCACGTGTCCGTCATCACCAAAGTTACCTCGGCTCAGGAACTTGGGTACGAGAGGGGAAGGTCATGCAATGAGCACCCCCGCTCGCCCGATCAAAGATCGGCTTTTACTAACATGATATCTTGTTTTTGAAAACACATGTGTTCTTATTCCGATTATTAACCTAGAATTGCTACGTGATGCGTACAACACACAAGTATAGACTAGATCGCCTAATTTGGAACAAAGCATTGCATGTTTGTTTGAAAATGGTTTGAAGGTGCTACTCGCAAGTAGGTTAAGACGTGGATTTGCCACCCTCGAGTGGGCTTAGAAAGCATGATTTTGCCACAATCAAGTGGGCTTAACACTCGCATTTCAATGAATTGTTCCAATTCAAGTAATCTAACCTTCACCCACAGGCATTCAGGCAGTTATATCATATAAGCAGTTAGCCTCATGGCAAGCATGCTGTCATGTTAACACTCACACTCATGCAAGATGCTAAAGCATAAAAGCTTACCTAGTACTCCAAGCCAAAACAATAGCCAGTTTGTAATCAATGCATGATCCTAGCTATGTTAAGATGCCTAATGTGACACATGCAAAATGCAACTAGAAATAGGCTCGGCTATCCTAAGATGTCATGTGAAAATGCAACTTGATACATGTATTCAAATAGAAATTGAAATACAATGCAATTAGTATGATGCGCTGAGCCCGGTGCATGCAATACAAATGAATGGATGCACGCATGCAAGCATAAGGTATGCTAATCGAAATATGCCCTAAAACTAACCATCGTAAGTGGTTAAGTAAAAGGGAGAAAGAAATGGGGGTTAGAAGACATGCATCACACACTCACGCACACTTATTACAAAATTCGCCCTCTCGACGGAGAGTCCGAATAAATAATACAAAACCAACTAGCTAAGCTAAGCTAATCTAATGAAACTAGTTATTACACACGAAAGGAATAACAAGCTACAGCTAATTATTACACAACTCTAATTAATCAACCAATTAACTAAGTAAGCAATTTAAATAAGCATGTAAGCCAAATGAAATAGGCTGCCTCAGCTCTGCTTTGGATGACAAAGGATGCATGCATACTCGAGTTGCCTCGTTCGGAAATCCTTCGTGACGCCCCAACTCATCTTTGTTTGCAATTGATTTCAGAAATTTGCACAAAGCTCCAGAGAGATGAAACTCCACCCCGGGGGACTGTGGAAAGGCTTCCGACCAGCTTATGGGAATGGGAGACCACCTGCCGATCACCTTTTGTGGTGGAAACGAAAAAAGGTGGTCGGCCTGCCAGTAAACCTGTTCAGCCGACCAGTTTCCTCTCCCAGATTCTAGTTTTCTGCAACAAAGGAAAAGAGAGATGCACGACAAGGTATTTGCAACATATGTGTGCATGACCACTCTCCCCGTCATTACATTAGCTCAAGGGAGTGTAGTCCTCGACCCTCGGGCCACCAGTCGCGCATCTCGATGCATGATGGCCGAGGAGTCGAATTGCACGACTCAATGTGAAATGAATGCACACACAAGCACCTAAAGCCGACAACTCTATCATGGGTAGTCAAGAGTGTCGGCGATGGGGAATGGAGGTACGTTTCATCACTTCAAGTATGAAACATCCCTCACTTCCCGTGTTCGGACTAATTCCTATTCCAAACACAATGCAACACATAACATGGCATGCACCGATGCGACTCTAGCTTGCAATCTCAATGCAATGCAACTAAGTCATGCAAACATGCAAAGGATAACATGCAAACATGCAACTAGCATACACAATGCTATAAACTAACAATGGCATACTCAATGGACATGACACTTAGCGTACACAATGCACATAGAAACTAACATACACAATGAGATGAACAAGGCATGCACAATGCAATGATCAATCATGCGACAACATGGCATACTCAATGCTATGAACTACAATGGCATACTCAATGCTATGAACTACAATGGCATACTCAATGCAAAATGGACTTAAACCAAAATGGACGAGCCTCAGCCACACCCAAATCAGTGGCCGAACATGATGAAAACAAGACTCCAGAACTCATGTTAGCATACACAATGCAAGGACCTAAGCCCAAGGGTACAAAATGCAACTCTACAAAAGCATTGAAAGGATGAAATATGGAATACAATGACACATGTTCCAGCTCTAAAATGACATACAAAATGGCTCTAAATCATGCAAACAACTCACACAATGCATGTTGAAAGGCTCAAGTACCGAAGCTAGTGAAGCACATTACACTAGAGGCATGCAAGGCAATGCTCAAATGACAAAACCAACTCCAAACAGACCTTAAGCAGGCCCAAAATAGTGGCAAAATGAGCCAAGATGGTGGCTTGAAAGGCATAAGAATGAAGCTCAATGCAAAGGCTCATAAATGGGGTATAATGATGTAACTCTCAAACATATTGAAAGAGTGACAAACATGAGAATACGGCCAAGAAATAAACTCTGAAATATCATGCTCAATGATGCTAAAACATGCAAACACCTCAAGTTAAGCATGCAAAGGGATTCAAAACTCAAGGCTAAGCAAGGCTATTACACTACAACCATACGTGGAAAGCATCATTCGACTAAGGGACCTCAAAACATAGTAAGGCAACCCAAAATATGAACAAAATCAATTTGGAGCATGGCCAAAATATGCTAGCATAGAGGGCCAAAACAACATGCATTATAAGCCAGTGAACATGATTTACACTACAAGCATGTGAAGCATATGAGAGGCTACCAAACCAGCCAAAAATAGAATCACGGCATGCCAAATGATGGCCAAAAACCCACTGAAACATGACCAATACATGCAAGAATGAGGTGTTACTTTGATAGGCTATGCAAGGGATTGTTCTACACATGCAAGAGGCAAACAAAAGGTGACCAAACCAACCATAGACAGAGTCTAGGCAGGTCCTAAAATTCACTAAAAAGGTCTTGAACCAAGGATAGGAAGTGTGGAAGTATATGCTCCCTTGGAAAGCCAACAATGCAAACAAACAAGGCCAAAAGAGAGAGGGTCACCCCTCTCTGATTTTGGCCCTCAAAACCACATGCCAACCACTGAAAATCCGTTGGATTTTAGTGGCTAAAGGGCCAAGCAAAGCTCAATACAAAGGACTCATGGCATGGCTCAAAACAAGGCTAAATAGAGCATGCAAGAGGGTAGATGACCCCTAACACCAAAAGAGCCTTAAACAAACATGAAAATCACTTAAATATGAACCTTTTTCAGTTGACAACAAAGCTCAAATAAACATGCAAATGAGGCTAAGAAAAGGATCAAAATAATGTTTAAAAGAGGAAAAACTGATTACCCTTGAAGCTCAGCAAAACCAACAAACTTTGGGACCAAAAACCAGCTCTTTAACCTCTGAAAACAACCTCCAAGAACCTCAAATCAATGGTGGAAGTGTATGGCTATGAGGTGTAGTGTAAAAGGGTCAAGAACAATGCACCTTATGAGCCAAAATATAGAGATATAGAGAGATATGTATTGTTTTGCCTTAGAGAAATTCTGAACTTGGTTCAAGGAGGGGAGGGCCTCTCTTATAGACAAACAAGGCCAAAGCTTTTTCAAGAAGCTAAAAACAAGGCTCAAGATCGTGTATGGAGGATACAGTCTATGCCTTCCAGTTGGCACAACTGGCACCCACTCAAACAGACAAAACATGGGGGAGCTGGCCGACCAGAAAAGGTGGTCGGCTG